ATTAGAATTATAAAAATTATAAAAAGAATTATAAAATATAAAAAAAGTTAAAATAAGTATCTTTATTTATTTTATCATTCTTATAAGAATGACATACATCATAGCATAATTATCTCTTATTAAAATTTAATTGTACGATATTTAAGATTTGATAGAAAGAAAAATAATGTTTCAGAGATGAAAACAATTTTTAATTTAGGAAAAAAGTTTAAATTTAAAAATAACTAGTTTAAATCTTAAAAATTAACTCATTTTTAATTAATTAAGCTAAATTAAAATAAAAATAAGTTAAAAGTTACTAACTTTTCATTTAACTTTTAATTAATTAGTTATCACCTAATCTAGATTCTGTGATATGCAATTAAGACCATAATAATCGCCCAAATAATCTTTATTTGTTATAGATGAAGTGAAGAGGCTTTGTGAGAAACAATTAAAAAGTATTTTTTTCCACTAGTGGCTATGTAATAAACCAATGAAAATAATGAATCACAAACATGATTATTTTTTCATTTTTGTGAATAAAAATAAATTTTAGGATAAATAATTTCTGATAAGGACAGCTTTCTGTTTCATTTTGCTAATTATCAGCAAAAGCAATATGCACTTTATGAGATATCTCAATTATGAAAAATTGTATACTTTATATATATATTATAAACAAATTATTAATTTTTTTACTATGTATATTTATATATTATATGTATTTTTAATAATATTCTTTATCATGAAAAGTTGAACATTTGTCTATGAAATAATATTATATGGGCAATAACAAAATATAAAAATATAGTTCAAAATATATATGTGGAATTAATGTCAAGATATATATAATAATAGTTATATTTCGATATTACAATCCGATTTATAAACACAAATTTATTGTAGAAATCGTTTAAAATGTCAATCAGATTTTTCTTCGTTTACATTTTTTGATTAGGAATAACATTGGAGAATTTTTTCAATTTTGCTACAAAAAAACCGTACATGTTATGCACATGCGGGTAATACCTCTTAGTTAATTTAAGCGTAGGGTGAAATCGATGTTGTCTGTAGCTCGTAAAACCATCAGTTCCGAATTCTAAGCCGGTGGGCACTAATTTAACATTACGTTTCTTGAGGGCGTAATCGATAATCCATTCGTTTTCTTCCGGGAGAATCGAGCAAGTCGAGTAAACGATAGTACCACCAGTTTCCGAACGAGCATTAACGCAATCTATCGCAGCCAGCAACAATTCCCTCTGCAACGTGCAGCAACGTTGAATATCTATCTCCTCTTTATTCGTCTTCACGCTGAGGTCCTTCGCGATTACTCCTGTGCCTGTGCAAGGAGCATCCAACAGGACTTTGTCGAAGCCTTTCATAATCTGAAAATTATTGTTATTTGTCATTATTCTGAAATCTTTCTTTTTTGCGAATTAGGCCCTACACACAATAGAAAAAATATTAGGAATAAATGTTAAATATTAGAATTGTTTTAAAATAAAATTGAAAAACTCTAATATACAAATACAAATTCAGGAAAAAAAGTGCTCTTATTAGTTTATTAGCTCTTACTTACTTTTATATCAGTTTTCCATTTTATTATTTTAAAATAAGTCTTATTCCTAATATTTTCTCTGTCGTGCAGGGAAAACTCTAATATACAAATTTCGTCTTTTTGATTTTATTATTTTATAATAATTCTTATTCTTAATATTTAATTTATATTCCTAATATTATCGTGTGTAGGGTCTTATAAGCGCTAATAAAAATGAAATTATTTTATACCTTAGAAAATTGTCTTCCATCATAATTGCAGATAACGGAATTTGTGATACCAACTCTATGAAGATTGCCGACGACAGCCTTCAAGCGATCTCTATTTAAATCGTTAGCAAATAATGTTCCAGTGTTCTTCATGAGTGCAGCAATGTGTGAGGTTTTTCCACCTGGCGCAGCACACATGTCGAGAATCCTTTCATTTTCCTTTGGGTCTAGTGCCATAACTGGTAAGAAGCTAGCAGCACCTTGTATGATGTAATGTCCAGCTAGATACTCTGGTGTCGCACCTATAGGTACTTGCGAGGAATACACTACTAAACCAACCTTTGTCCATTTTCCTATTGGATCGAGATTAACACCCCTGTTGATCAGAGCCTGAAAATAAATTCGACATCATCAATATACACATATACAAAATGTTCCATTTTAAAAGTTGGGGGACATAAAATAATGCCATTGATTTGACCTTGAATAGATCATTCAAAGGTCATGTGAAGATCATTTTCAATTTCTTTATTATGAACCCCCATTTTTATTACATATTCTTGTAGCTTATCTCGAGAGCTTTCCAAAACATTATAATAAAGTATATTTTCATTTAGTACTTTTCAAGTTATAAAGCTTTGAAGTTAACAATTTTTTTACATAAAATGTAAAATATTGTTTTCGATAATCATTCTTTAATACTTTTATGCACAGAATAATGAGACTAATCAATTGGTGTAAAGAAAACATAATTGCTTTTAAGAAAAAGTACATGCAGCTACATATTGCAAATTTTTTAATAAAAAAATTAATTTTTTTTATAAAATAAAAGTATTAAGATAAGATTACCAAAAACCGAATATTTTAATAGATATTTTACATTTATGTCAAAAAATTTTTATTTTCAAACTTTATAACTAGAAAGTACTTAATGAAAATATACTTTATTATAGTGTTTTTTAGAAAGCTCTTGAGATAAGCTACAAGAATATGCAATAAATAGTATTGTATTATGTAAAGTATCTATCTACCTCTGCTAAATCACGTCGTCGCGTTTTCAAAGTATTTGTACGGATGGTCATAGGTCTTTCTACTTCGCTCGCTTCTAAAAATTCGATTAATTCATCCAGTGAGAACATTTGCATCAATTTCTCCATCAAGAAATCATTGTAACTGTAATATGTACATAAATCTCGTCGAAGTAATTCGATATATTCGGAACGCGATCTGTTTTCCGTTCGTAATCTCTTGAAGTCTGATAATACTATAATAACGTCTCGTATTCGTTGCTGAATGTCTTTTAAGTTAGTGACATTAGCAAGTTCCTCTTCAGTTGGAAAAGAGAATATACTTTGATGAGAAATCATATTGTCCATTTCTTCTTGCGCAAGTTTTCTATTTAGAAGATAAAAGAATTAATAAAAAGTATTCAATAATATATTTTTAGTAATTTAGTATTTTGAAAGTAAATTAATAAAATTAAAAAATAAAAAGGAATTATATATATATTAATTAATACTATATTATATTAATTAATACATTTACTCACTCTTCTTCTTGTTTCTTCTTTTTAATTTTTATTAGCTTTTTCTATTGGAAGTGAATCATCATCACTTTTATCATCTGTTTCTTCATTATCCTCCATTTGATCAACAGAGTCTTCCTCATCATCACTGGATACCATTTCTTCACTATCACTTTCAACTTTATTTACAAATTTCTTTTTTGCTTTTTGATTTCATTGTAAAAAGTGATTGATTGTCATTCTCTTCGTTCATTTCTTCATCTTCAATATTGTCATCAACTTCCTCATCATCACTTTTATCATCTGTTTCTTCATTATCCTCCATTTGCTCGTCAATAAACTCTTCATCATCTTCATTGCTATAATTAACAACTGATTTCAATTTCTTTTCTTTTTTCTTTTTAGCTTCTTTGATATATTTTTCTCCTAAAATTAATTAAATTAATTTGTACATCAAAATTAATATAAAACAATGATGCGTTTATCATGTAAAAAAAAAAGCATACCTGTTTTAATTGTATCTGTTCTTTTGGATTGGTTTTTTTCTTGAGTAATTTTTTTGCATTTTCTTTCAGCTGTTGATTTTTAATCTCTTCTGTGCCCTCTGTTTTTGCCGATGACTTAACTTACTTATCTCTTTAACTGCAACATGATAACATGATAAATAATTTTATTTATCAAATATAAAAATTATTAATGCATTGCTTTATACAATATAAAAATTTATTAATGCATTGCTGTCTCTTTGCATACCTAAAACTCCCTTTGGAAAAGTTGGATCACTCTGCTTTTTCCCTTTTTCCCACGTCCAATAGAAACTTCAGCCTCATCAAATTTTGCTTTACGACCCATATTTACCTAATAATAATAAGGTAAGTATAATTATATTTATAGTTTTTCGTTCATTTAATAATAAATTTGATCTTAAATTTTATTTTATAAATGAGTAATTAATATATTCCAATTTTTTTCTCGTAAATATAAATATATTTATTATATAAAAACTTTCTTCCACATGTAATGTCAAGAAGATGAAGTCACTACGCTTTAATATTGAAGATAATTTGAAACTAATTAAAATTTTAAAAAATTAAAAATAATTTAAAGTAAAATTTAAAATCCGAATAAATTGTTTTAGCCAAATATAAAATTATCATTAATAAATACCTCAAAATGTGTATTCTTCTTGTGAAAAAGGTTAGAATAAAATTTACGACCATAGATTCAGTGATATCTAGAGTCTCTCTATAATAAGAATTTTGAAAAACGATTTCTGATTGGTTCCGCCACTTTCAGTCAAACTTCCGTTTTTCTCACTGATGTATTTAAAACAATAAATAAATAAAATCAATAAAGTAAGTAAAATAAATAAAATAAATAAAATAAATAAAATAAATAAAATAAATAAAATAAATAAAATAAATAAAATAAATAAAATAAATAAAATAAATAAAATAAAATAAATAAAATAAATAAAATAAATAAAATAAAATAAATAAAATAAATAAAATAAATAAAATAAATAATAAAATAAATAAAAATTAAAATAAATATAAAAATATAAATAAATTTTAATAAATATAAATATAATAAAAATAAAATGAAGAATCAGTAGTTTTCTCAGTCCAGTTGTTGATTGACCAATCAGCTGATAGGTTGCTTCGCTCTGATTGGTCAATTCACAACTGTCACCTGGCAACGGCGCATTTGCAAGCTATTGTGGAAGGATCTTTAATACGAAGGAGAGGCACAAGAAGGAGGAAGGAAGGTCATTATACAGTCACATCTGGCTACAAGTCTTATGTGTAGAACGGAACGGTTATTGTGAGACTTGTGGAATTCGGATAATAAATGAACCTGTCCTACAACAAATACGTGATACTGTTTATACCACAAGAGTGGCAAGAGGAGTTTATGAAAGAGAAGAAAAAAAACGCGGTTCCCTCATATAAAGCTGTCGTAATATCAGAGTAAGTAATTTCGCGCACTCGCTTCTTACATATATGTATGTATATGTCATACATATGCTTACGACGCATCGCAACGTGATAGTTGCAATGCAGTTTCATATGTGCGATGCATACATGCTTGAAATTCTCATGATTGTATAGATACACTTGCTTTTTTTTAAATATCTTTACAGATGAAAGCTGTAAATAAATTAGTTGTAAATTAAATACCAATTAAATTAGCAAAATAAACGTATATATATATATATATATATATATATATATATATATATATATAAAATATATTATATTATAATATATTATATTATATTATATTATATTATATTATATTATATTATATTATATTGTACATATATACATATATATATATATATATTATATATATTAAATTTATTTCACAATCTTTAGCAATATGGTGTTTTTCAAGTTTTCAGAAAGCACCATGGATTGTTGTGTTGCGAATCAATATGATTGTTCACAAATTGCGGAGACATTTCCAAATATCTCCAGTCCAGAGATGTTTGACAGCGATACTGAGAGAAAGATGGACAGCAAAACTGTTAATACATTACCGGATGTTAATACATTAGTGGCGATTAGCCCTGAGAAGAAGCCTTCTCAAACGGAGTTAATTACAAAGTCAGATAACAATTTGCTAGGCAGAATTAATAAATTTTTGAGAGGTGTCCCACCTCCACCAAGGCACACAATATGTCAGAATGATTGTTCTGATTTTTTACAAAATATTTACGCGAATCGTCATTTTTTCTGGACTGAATATCCATTGAGTGAAACTTTGGAAGCTGCGGAGAGCACAAAATCTCAGAAGCAGACAATTGGGAGGGAGAGAGAAGCTAGGAATATTTCTTATCAATGTACAAAAGGCACTCCGAGAAATTTGACAAATGCTTTTGATACTTGCAATCTATCAGTTAATAATGCAGAAAGTACACAATTAGATATAAATAATACTAGTGATAGTAATAGTAATTTAAATATACAATATAATAATGTTCCTATGGAAACAAAAAATTCAGTTAATACGATTAAAGAAACAGCGAGAGTTCCACCGATAATAGATAACTCCAATGTATCTCAGGAACAATCTCTTCTTTATCATACAATTGGTGAAAGGGAGGCCACGACTTTAACATGGCCTCAGGTGTACTCCCACAAGTTTTATGGCATACAGTGAGTTAATGTACATTTAATTTTTCAGTATACAATGTATACAAATCTAAGGCTTTTTTTAAAATTTTAGTTATAATAGAAGCAGAAGTGTAGAAGAATTCGAGAATTTAACTGTGAAATTATGCGAGAGATATATAGGAGCTGAAACACAGTCGACTTGTAATATATGGTTTTCGAAGAAAGCGCCAGGAAGTGCAAGAAAGCGAAATTCATTAGCGAAACGCGAAAACGGTCAAAGTCCAGAGAAAAAGTTGACACATTTAGCCAGAAGACGCAGGACTTTCTGTAGTGCTAACTTGCAAGGATTAGGACTTGCTGACAAGAAGCAGTTAATGGTACAAATAAAGTACGTAACATATAATATTAATTATTTAATATAATATATATTATATATATACAGGGTGTATCAGACCACCCGTGCCAGCCGAATATTTCAAAAACCGAGCGCGACAGACAAAAATGTTTCCTACAAAAGTTGTAGGGTTTCGAGTAACGCATTACATAGTAATATTAATACGACCTTGAATAGCGTTGTCAAGATCACGTAAAGATCATCTTTAATTTCTTAAATGGAATCTCCTATTTTTCATTACAAATTCTTGTAGTTGATGTCGAGAGCTTTCCAAAACACTATAATAAAACATTTTTTCATTAAGTACTTTTTGAGTTATAAAAATTTGAAGTTCACAATTTTTTTAATAACATGTAAAATATCGTGCAAAATATTTAGTTTTTGGTAATCATACCTTAATACTTTTATGCATGGAATAATGAGACGAATCAATTGGTGTGAAGAAAACACATAGTTGCTTTAAAGAGGGTGTATGTAATTTGCAACATATTTTTTTAAAACCAATTATGTGTTTTCTTTACATTAATCGATTGGTCTCATTATTCCGTGAATAAAAGTATTAAGGTATGATTACCGAAAACTAAATATTTTGCACGATATTTTACATTTTATGTAAAAAAATTGTAAACTTCAAACCTTTATAATTAAAAAAGTACTTAATGAAAAAATGTTTTATTATAGTGTTTTGGAAAGCTCTCGACATCAGCTACAAGAATATATAATGAAAGGTAGGGGATTCCGTTTAAGAAATTAAAGGTGATCGTTACGTGACCTTGACAACGCTATTCAAGGTCGTACTAATATTACTATGTAATGCGTTACTCAAAACCCTACAATCCCTTTTGTAGGGAACATTTTTGTCTGTCGTTCTCGGTTTTTGAAATATTCGGTTGGCACGGGTGGTCTAATACACTATATATATATATATATATATATATATATATATATATATATATATATATATTTAATATAATATATATAATAATTAGGAAAAATAATTTCCTTAAAAAAAATTAATCTGTATTTTTGAAATATAGGAAGCCCACACAGAAAAAAGGTAAAAGTCCAAGAGGCAAAAGTCCACGAGGTAAAAGTCCAAGAGGCAAAAGTCCAAGAAGTTCGGCAAAAAAGAAAGCAGTTCGAAGACTAATGTTGGATGGACCAAGTCCGTGTAAAACCAAACTGGAGATCTCGAAACGCGCGCTATTTCAAAGCCCGCCAACGGATAATGCTGGTCCCAGTAAATTAAATACTATGAATAATTTAGATTCTCAAAAAATCAAACGCGTTTTATTCTCGACACCGAGAAAGGACGAATCTGAGCAGCATACACAAGTGAAACAAGTATCGCTGAGAGACGAAAGTAGGAAGAGAAAGAGCGAGGAGGAATTGCAAGGACCGCGATTAAAATGGGCAAAGAGTTTGTCCTTCGACTGCACGCATGAACTGAAAAATATCTCGAAAGTTACTTGGGACAGACACTCGTCGAGTAATATTCTCCCGAAAAACAACACGTCTCTTAATCAAGGAAGAAATGGAGAACTTAGTGACTCGCATAGAAAGGTATACATTATCTTCTTCAGAATGTCCCACAAGAAATTGCTGAAACTAATCAGTTGTCATTATTTAATGCATGCAGTTACTGAGAAAACAAAACTTGTATTGAAAAGAGGAAAGTCTACAGTTTTTATGGATATAAATAAAATGTTTGTATACCAATTTATTTTATTGAAAAAAGTAACGAAAAAAATAATAATAATATCACATATGTAAACTAATGATAAATATTTTCGAAGTGCACGCTATTTGAATTTGTACAAAATTCTGTTCTTTTACGGAAACTTGTAAAATATTTTTCTAATGTCATTTTTAATGTTATTGACGATCCTTTTAATAGCTGCTATTAAATCTGGTACTGTTGAAAATATTTATCATTAATTTATGTGATTATTAGCACTTTCATTACTTTTTACAATAAAATAAACTGGACCATCCATACGTTTTATTTATATCCATGAAAAACTGCAGACTTTCCTCTTTCTAACACAATTTTTGTTTTCTCAATAACTGCATTAAAAAATGACAGCTACTTAATTAGTTTGAACAATTTCCTATGAGACATCCTGTACTTCAATATTGTATATGTTGTTAGTGTTGTGCTCAGATGATTTTAAAATTATCTGGATAAAAATGAGGTGAAAATATCAAAATTTATCTTAGATGATTTTGAATTTATATATATCTAGACAAAAGATAAAATTTTATATAGCAATTCATCTAGATAACCTCTAGATAATATTATTTTTAAAATCGCTTATGTAAACACAGTTATAACAAAATTATAAGAGATATAACAATATTCGTACTTTTATTATTAATAATATTCATACTTTTACTTATAAGTTTTTATCTTACTGCTTACTGCTGAAGTTCTACTATTTCAATATTTTTAAATACTAATGACTCTATAGCAAATTATTTTAATTATTCTTGATAATTTAGTAAAGATAATACTTTTTTCATCTAAGATGCAGATATAGATAATACATATTTTTATTGTCTTTATAAAAATAAGATGAGATCAAAATTCCATCTAAATAATCATCTATATAATTTTATTTAGATAACAGCAAACACTAACTTTGATGCAATAATTTTTTCCAATATATACATATATATATATGTATTTATTTTCAGAAATTACTTTGGGCAGTCGCAGAGGCTCTACGATACAAAGGCATTGGTATGAATCATCCGAAATTTAAGCAATATGCCGCGAGTTTAGCGCGCATAATAAAAAAATACATGCCCGATCTCGAAAATAGGAATATTCCACGAAAACCTGGTAGCACAACAGATCGCATGTTGAAATTGGCCAAACAACATGTACTCCTTCTCATCGATACTAGGCCAATGGATTGACAGTACTCATTGATAACACAATTAGTCAAAAAGAGAATCACACCAACACTTTCTGATGAACAGGACATCATTAAAATGACCAATATATGGGTGCTTATTATATCTTTTACCCGCGACGTATGTTTATATACACTGACTTTTATATAATTTAAATAACATGAGAAGACAAGACGTGTTATAATAATAATAATAATAATGTAACATTTAAAAATGGGATTGTATGTTGTTACACCGCTATTTGCAGGGTATTAAATCATTTTTATCTTATATACATATATATATATATATATAATATATATAAAAATGTGTTTTTTTTTAAATAAGCATAGTGTTTTATTAGCTTTAAAATAGTCTTTCTTAAAATTATCTTTCACAACTTATATATAAATAATTAATTAAAAAGGCGCTTTCCCTTTGTGAAGTAAAACGCAACCTGCAATAACTTGCGTAATAACTTTATCCAGTTAACGCATGTATACATGTATGTTATATCTAATCCGTCATATATCTAAAATATGTGTATATTTAAGATATAGTGTTTTCGCGATTAAAAATTAAAAACTGATTTTGATCGATCCAAGATTGATTAATGACGTGCATCATCTCTGGCAATAAAAGATTCGAATTCATAGTAAAATAGTAATTAATTGATCCGGGATGGATCAAAATCCGTTCACTTGAAAACACTAAAAGACTGATCGCATCACAATCCACGATACGTAGCGCGATTAGTCTATTCTTATTTTCATTCAGAGTTTCCATGCCCAACCCTGGCGATAACCTCGTCCAAGATCTTTGCCAGTTCTTTGTTCTCCTTAGTTTTTTGCTCCACAAGTTCGGCGAGCGAGTTACTCTTCAATTCTGCTTTTCTTATCATCGCATGCAGCTTCACTGTTTCTGCTTCGTTTTGCTTTCGTATTCCGTCCAACTCCAGGTTTGCTCTAAAAACAAAAATATGATTGATACAATATAATGTATATAAAGAAAGAAGAATGGGATCGATAAAATATCTCGGAAAATATAAGATATACAAAAGTAGTAATATTCATAGTGAGGCACTAGATGACCTTGACCTAGAAGTCAAATTTAAAGATCGTTTCAAGGTCAACTTTATTTTTTTTTTTTTAATAAAATATTTTTTAAATAAATCGATCGCTCACAATATTTTGGAAAAAAAAGTTATAAGGGTAGGGTAGTCAAAAAGTGATTAGTTCAATAAATAAATAATTACCAATATTGTATATACTTTAGCTTTAATATAATAGAATAATAATCTTTCAAAAATCGCCAGAGTTCAAAATTAATAAAACAATATTCTGAACCGACTTCATTGGCAAATTATATCAATTTATTGATTTTTGGTACACAACGTTTCGGTCTTTGGTTTAGGCCGTTTTCACGTGTTCTAAAAACAATACAATTGCAATGCATCGAATTAAGAGTTGAAACTTAAAAAATTGAAAACTGTTTACAATGAAAATCATTAAATCAGAGAGAGATGATAATACTTTGTAAAAACAAGCTGATAGACAAGATATTACTTAGTGAAGAAAAAAAATCGTCATATGTTGATATTAAACATATTATTAATGAATTGATTTTCATACTTTTTTATGAAAAACATTGTGTACCAAAGATCAATAAATTGATATAATTTGCTAATAAAGTCGGTTTATAATATTGTTTTATTTCTTTAATATAATCTTACATAAACTATATAAAATATTAATTTTTCGATGAGCTTAATACTTTTATACACAAAATAATGAGAGAAATCGATTGGTGTTAAAAAAACAGATAGTTCTTTTTAAGAAAAATATGTAGCTGTTAGTTGCAAATTATATTTTCCTTAAAAACAACGTTTTTTTTATCAATTAATTTCTCATTATTTTGTACATAAAAATATTGAGGTAAGGTAATCGAAAAATGAATATTTTATAGTTTACGTAAAATTGTCACATTAAAAAAAATATCTCAAATTATTCACTTTTTGATCATCTTTATAAATTTTATGCAAAATATTGTGAGGAATTGATTTACGTAAAAAAATATGGTTTTATTTTAAAAAATTAAGTTGACCTTGAAATGACCCTTTTGACCTCTAGGTCAAGCTGAACGTCATCATCAAGTACCTCACTTTAAATCCTATTTTTATTTAACATTTTTTTATATCTCACTTCTTCCAAGATATATATTTTACCCGTCCCATATTTTTCCTCTGTATATCTGTATTAGAAAATATCCGTCTGTTTCATAATAATAGATAAAGTATGTATGAATTGCATACTTCTCCAATTGGGTCATCGCGTGCTCCTTCAGTTGATCGTATCGCGTTTCCAACGTCTTTATAGTATCTACATTTTCCTGAATACTTTCTTTTAATACAGCTTCGTTATTTTTGTACACCGACACGACTCCTTTGAGTCTTTCGTACTTTTGATGTACGTCGTTAAACGCCGCTTCCGTGTTAGTTAAATGGTGATTTGCAGCTTGTAACTCTTCTTGCAGCTTCGCCTTTTCTTGCTCGAAGTTCGTGCGATCTCTTTCCCGCTCTGTGAGTAATCTGCTAATCGATTTCTCATATTCCTCCACAACAACTCTAAAAAGATTGATTTCCATATTTTATTCACGATTTATATAAGCTTATATAAATATATATAAATATAAATTATATAAATATATATAAATTTTATTTATGTATTTATAATATAACATAAGTATACAATCTTGAATAAATCACTTACGTCATTTGCGTTTTGGTTTTCACTTCTTGTGCCATTTGTGACTGCAGTTTATTAATTTTCTCCTGAAAAGCTGTCTTCTGTCTTTCCAGCTCTGCTTCGTGGTCCTTTTTCTGCTTCTCTAGTTCCTCTTCTAATTGTAGTACCGTCGTTCTCACAACTTCAAGTTCCTTACTCATGTCTATATCGGCGATAAGTGGTGCGTCGGATTTAGGCTCGTCTACTGGTTGCTCCTGAAAAAAATGTTATTTCATGATAGGTTTAAAACTTACAATTAGATGTAATTTTTCATATAATAACACTTCAACAAAAAATTTTTTTCCAACACCAGAACGAGACTAGTCGTTTCTTATAGTTTTTTGAGCGCTGAACGCGAATCTGTCTTTAAAATTGCCCCATCACGTTACAATTTTAAGAGACATGCAATTAAAGTTGCAAAAAGGGCTATTTTCACGAATTTTGTCACATTATACAATATGTGACGTGCTAAAGTTTTCTTACCACCAAAATATATTGTGACTTTCAACTCTCAATAGGAATTTTCGATATCGGTTGTGGTTCATAAAATATAATATTGTAATAATAGTTAAATTGTTTAATGGATATTCATAAAGATTTAAAATATTTTTGAAAATTTTTTAATTTAAATTATATATTGAATCAATTTCATTAAAATTTTGTTTTAATAAAAAAATTTGAATTTGTTATATAGATAAATAAAATTTAAAAATTTAAAAAAAGTATAATAAAAAATTATTTTTAAAATTAATTTATTTGAAATTAATCTTGAAAAACACAGAAAAATAATAAGTAAATCTCTGATTATAATTAAAAATAGTATAATTGAATAGATGTAATTAGATTTTCATATAGATGTTTTTAAACAAATTAAACATGAGTATAAAATTAAACATGATATTGTAGCTATGACAAAATTCGTGAAAATACCTCTTTTTGCAACTTTAATTGCATGCCTCTTAAAATTGTGACATGATGGAGCAATTTTGAAGACAGATTGGTGTTCAGCGTCCAAAGACTATAAGAAACGACTAGTTTCATGGTGTTCCTTTTTTTGTTGAACAATATAGTTAGAAATGTTTATTTACATTTTTCTCTTGAGCTTCTTCTGACTTTTGCACCGTTCCGCTGGAAAGAGGACTATAAAAAAGCAACCTATCTATAGCTGCTATGGCAGGATTACGTTTTGGTGTACCAACATCAGGAAGTGGCGATTCGCTCTTGCCATTTTGTTCCTCGTTTATAGGTGGGGCGACGTTACCTTGAGGCAACATGCTTATATTCGATATCAATGGGTCGAATTTAATGTACAAAGATTCCGCTCTAAGGCGATCCGTATGCTTAGAATTGCTTCGCGCTAACAAGAAGTCGAATGTCGAAGGATCTTGGAAAACTGGAAAACACGTTATCATTCGATTAATAAATTTCACAAATATGCGAAAAGAAGTCTTGATAACAGAGAGAGTTTTAATGTACGCTTACTTTCATCCGTCGCGCTGATAAACTGATCTGTCTCTTCCGCAAATCCCTGCGAAGGATTGAGCAACTCATCAGTGATCCTTTCCGCTGTGAATCCAAATCCTTCGAAATCCGGTTGTTCGTTGATTAATGACAACGTGGTGCTTTGCCGTTGAGGCTTAAATCCTTGGTACTGTTCCTCGTCTGATGCAAAGTTCTCGTCTACTTCTTGCAACGTAAGGGTACGATCGAGATCCTCTTCGATGCTCCCCTTTTTAATAGCACCCGTCGAAACCGCGCTGTTTTCTTCTTTTACAATAATTACAGTTTCCGATGGATTACACGGTTTTTCTATAATACGAGTCTCGTTGCATATTTCCTTTTCGGGTGAAAAAGTCTGCGTTTTATTCAATATTGCGCTATTCGTTATTTCTAAATCTTGTCCATCGACATTAGTCTGCAGGTTTTCCTTAACTTCCAATATTTTTGGTTCTATAATATTGGTTTTGTTCAGCTGTTTACCGTCTTCTTGGTTATCTGACACGACACAGTTATCCAATCGTAAGGAACCTTGCTCGATAATCTTCTTTTCTTCCGGTTGAGCAACAGGACAACTATTTGTATTTATTTCCGATGATACACTCAATTTTTCATGGGTATCGTCGGAAGGCGATAATTCTGTTAATGTCTCTTGTCCAGATTTTGATAAATCCTGCGCATTATTTTCCTTCGACTTACAATCGGTCTCTTCTAAAGATAACGTTATGCTGGATATATTGGGTAACGAAGGACCCTCCACATATTGCGTCAATGAAGCTATGGACGGAACAGAAACTTCGACAGGACTCGATATCGGATTTTCCAATATCTCAACGTCGCGACTGTTCTCTACCTTCTGTTCTTCACCGAATCCGATCGCGTTGGGGATCGAATCGTCGGACGAAACTATGACTGTTGTTACATCCGCATTATTATTCGTCGGCAGCGAGTCCTCTATAACATCACTAGCTGATATATTATCGCTCTCTCGCGATGGGATACATTTATCGATCGATTCCTCTTCCGGAGGAGGAGCCACGAGCTGCTCTTGAATAGGAAGCGTGGCCTCGGACGGTCCAAGAGTATCCGTCTGATTCAAGATCACCTGAGTAGTCTCGTGCGATTCCGAAGGACTCGTTGTCTCGAGCACTTGCGTCTCGTCGCCGGCGGTGTTGTCCGGCAGATCCTCGTTCAGGGAAGAATCGCTCGCGTGGAACGGCGTCTCGTCCGTAGCCGACGCGAAGGTCTGGTCCTGGCTGAGATCCTGAACAGCGTCACTTTCCAAGTGGATGTCCGCGCACGCGGCGATCAGATCCTCGAGGCCGGGTATGTTGGAGTTGACGTAAGAGGTGTCCGCGATGTCGTCGAGGGTCGAATCCGGACATATGCCGCTGCTGCTCTTCGTGCTGAGGGTGCTGCTGAGGCTGTGGAAGCTGCTCGCGGACGAGAGACTCTCCGGCGCGGAGCAGAGATTCTCCCTGATCGAGCCTACGTCGGCGAATTCGCGGGCGAAGCGCACCTTCACCTCATGCTCTCCTGTCTTGGGACTGTCGTTGCCGCTCTGAAAGATAAAATGCACGTTAAAGCATGTCAGGGAATGTGGTTCTTTCCTTATCTCCTTTCTCGTGACGTGTCGAATGAAGCGTTCAACCGAATACATGCAATCACACCAGGAGTCTTGGAAGAATTTTTTAGCGTTTGCTGTTACCTAAATAAAATTATATAGATAATCATCTATCATCTTAGATAAAAAAAAGTGTTATCTTTACTAAATTATCTACAATAGAATAATGTAGAATAATTTTGATGTAGAGTTATAGCATATAAAAAGAAATTAAAGTATAAATACATTTTTATATCCCTTTTATAATTTATAGTTTTTATAACTATGTTTACAGAAACGGCCTTAGAAATAATATTATCTGGAAATTATCTAGATAAATCGCCATATAATTTTATTTTTTATCTAGATTATCTATATTTAAAAGAAAATCATCTTTATCTTATCCCAAATAAACTTACATATTTTCATCTCATCTTTATCTAGATAATTTTTAAACCCTCTAACAATAAGCACAACACTGAATTTGTTATCTCGAGCATTAAAAGAAACCTTGCTCAACAGAAATATAATCTTCTTCTTTTTCTTAGGTGTTTGATGGTAACAGAATGATCTAAGATAAATTTACGTATTTTTATCTCATCTTTATCTAGCTAATTTTAAGATCATCTAAGCACAACACTTTATGAGAAATATAAAGGACAAGACCAAAATATAATGAGAAGGATGACTATTAGAGAGAAATAATTTGGATAGGAAATCTTCTCGACGGTTCACGTCACGCGATTGTATACCGTCATCGGCGTAGGAGACGTTCTTGGACTCGTAGCTCGATGCAGAAGTTTGTTGAGATATTCCATGCCGTTTCGATCGAACGAAGGGGTCCCGCAAACCGCGAAATACCGAAGTTCACTGGGAACATCGCTAGACCACTCGTCGCTGACGATCAGCTGACCGGGTCTGGCGATTTCTTTCGCGAGGGAAATTGCGCAATCATCTCTCGCCTCTCGCTCGAGCTAATTATAAAACATATCGAGAGAGAAAGGATCCTGCGTTCGCTGCCACAGTTTCGCTCGCCTCCGCAAGACGGTGACATGGTGGACGGCGAAGAATGACTGCTCCAGATTCCTTCGAGAAGGAGAAAAGGAGCTGGATATCATAGACATTCGCACAGTCAGTTTGGAAGTGCGAGATTCTAACGGTTTTAAATACAGACGATTAAATGGATATATACAGAAAAACGTGAAGTCATCAAGGAAGTTCATTAGAAGATCACAGAATACATCTCTAAAAAATTGTACGTGAGCAGTGTTTAAATAATTTTAAAATTAAATAAAATTGTGCTTAGATAATTTTAAAATTAAATAAAGTTGTGCTTAGATAATTTTTAAATTAAACAAAAATGAGATAAAAATATATAAATTCATCTTATTGTTAGATAACATAAAGATGATTTTGAATTTAAATATATCTAGATAAAAAGGTAAAATTGTAGCGATTCATCTAGATAACTTCCAAATAATATTATTTTGAAGACTGTTAATACAAGCTATTAATAAATATACAGAGAAACGTGAAGTCATCGAGGAAGATCATTGGAAAGTCACAGAATACATTTCTAAAAAAATGTACCGTGACCAGTGTTGTGCTTAGACGATTTTAAAATGAGATAATGATGAGATGAAAAGATATAAATTCATCTTATTATTATGATAAGATAAAGATAATTTTGAATTTAAATATATTTAGATAAAAGATAAAATTGTATAGCGATTCATCTAGATAATTTCCAGATAATATTATTTTTAAGACTGCTTATGTAAACATAGTAATGAAAAAAGTAAATTATAAAAAGGATATAAAGTCTTTATCACTTTTACTACTAAAGTTCTACTATATTTAAGTACTTTTATGTACTATGACTCTAAAACAAATTATCTGAACATTATTTTAAATAATTTAGTAAAGATAACACTTTTTTCAGCTAAAATATAGATATAAATATAATACATATTTTTATTATCTATATAAAGATAAGATGACGCTAAAATTTCTAGATGATCATCTATATAATTTTATTCAGATAACAACAAACACTGATGAGACATAAAGCTCGTCCACACTAATCTTATGCGAAATGGATTTCGGTTAAATCAGCTAATTTTTTTATATGTTGTAGCTTATGGCCTGCTGAACTAAAAAATTCAATAGCCTCAAAGCTAAATAATAGGCAATTATTGAGTTATAGCCAGTCAAACAGCTCGCAAAGCTCGATTTTTCATATTTAACTGATTATAAATTAATAACTGTCTATATTATTTAAGTAGTTTTGAGCTTTTTATATTTCTTGTTCAGTAGATCATAAGCTACAATATATGAGAAAATCATAAAATTCTATCGGGATTCACAATTTCATCTAGGGATTCATATAAATTCCAAAATTCCGCACTAATTTTATATAAAATTTAATCTCTCTTAGCAAAATCTGCCAGTCAAAACAACTCGCGGAATCTAAGTTTTTCATGTTTCACTGACTGTAAATCAATAACTATCTATTACTTTTGTTAGCTTTGAAGCTATTGCAGCTTTTATTCCGCAAATCATAAGCTACAACATATGAAAAAAATCAGCTTAACCAAAGATTTAACCGAAATCCATTTTATTGTAGCCAAAATTAGTGCGGAATACTATTTTAATTTATAGGTCTGTTCGTTTTAGTTGAATTGGCTGCACTAATTTAGAGTTTATCTTCTTTACTCGACATTGGAAAAGGTAAACTAGTGTATTTCGATTCGTGACTTATTCAAGTCCACACACATACATACACTTCACATAGCTCGTAACTGCATAACAAACATCACCAACTAGTGTGAAAATGGCCAGGAAAGAAGATATCCTTATTTTTATATCATATATACAATGACGCTAGATAATGATGGGCTGTCTAATGCAGAAATCATATTTGCGAACGATTGTATCTCTCTAATTAACTGAGTATCCGCACTGACGAGCAACACAATTCTTGCGTGATGCAACGAACGCGATATGTAAAAAGAAGTAATAACGAAATACTTTGTTGTGTACACTTTGTTATTTACAGGGTGTCTCATAGCAAATCGCTGAAACTAATCAGCTCTCATTTTTTTAATGCATGCAGTTATTGAGAAAACAAAAATTGTATTCATGCAGTTTTTAATGAATATAAATAAAATATTTGTACACTAGTTTATTTTATTAATAAAAAGTAATGAAAAAGCTAACAATCACATAAAATCACTTAAACTACTGATAAATATTTCAACAGTGACAGATTTTCTAGCAGCTATTAAAAGGATCGTTAATGATATTAAAAATGACAATAGAAAAAGTTTTGACGAGTTTTCGTAAAAGAACAGAATTTTGTACAAATTCAAATGGTGCACTTTGAAATATATTTATCATTAGTTTACATATGTGATATTATTAGCACTTTTTTCGTTACTTTTTTTCAATAAAATAAATTAGTATACAAACATTTTATTGATATCCATAAAATTTCCTCTTTTCAACACAAGTTTTGTTTTCTCAATAATTGCATGCATTAAAACAGCTGATTAGTTTCAGCAATTTCCTGTGGCACATCCTGTAAATATATTATATTAGTGCAAAATACTTATCGTTTTAGTCAAATACATTTAAAAGAAAATTAATATATACCATTTAATATATATACAATTTAGAAACAATTATTAATTAATTTAATTATATTGTAATTATACTTTTTTATCTAGGAAGTTTTTAACTCCTTAAAAAAACTTAAAAAATGACAGCGATTAGTTTCAGCAATTTTCTATGGCACACCCTGTACATGGTAAAGGTGAAACGCGCGCAAATTATACCTTTGAGAGAGGAATCCCCATGATTTCTCAGTAAGAGGACTTCCACTTTCGGCTGTCAACTAACGCGCAACGATCCCATATTTTAAACGCGAGTTCGAAGAACTCTCGAATTGTTTTCACTTTCCCTTCCGCTAGGTATTTTCACCCTTGACACTGATAATCATTCGCCGAGTAAAATAATTTTGACTTCGCGACGTAAATATTAGTATATTCCGAACATCAATACTTCCTAGCTGTCTCTTTCCTTCCATCGTATAATAAATATCGAATTAATGATTCATTGTTACTAGAGCAAAACATCCGCGATTGCGATAGTTTATTATATATTCATTATACTCGCGAGAGGAAATTTATTTATATAAACAGGATGTCCCAGAATTAGCGGATTCCTGGGATCATTTGGAGAGGATTTTTCCTCAGCAAAAATGCCAAGGCACCAATAATTTTCGAGTTATAAGCGATTGAAAATAAAGGGATTTTTGGAAAAAATATTAATAAAACCACATTCTTCGATTAATTTTAGGCAGAGTTTACTTTAACAAAATTTTAATTTGAGGCTTAGTTACACGATGGCAAAAATATGGCTCCAAATGATTTCAGGAATTTGCCATTAACAGGTGATTCATTAATTCTGGGACACCCTATATATACCTTCACAGAGATAAACAATTAGAGGTGATATATTGGGACAAGAACGCAAATAAATCTTTTTTGGAAATTAGGTCAATAAACAACAGAAACACGTAAGATACAGACGGCAAAGTGATCAGTTAACACGAGTTCCTTCGCGCTCCTTATTCGGCGCTTTCTTGACATCATCGAGACTGCAACCATCAGACAATGACTCATTCTCATTTGACCGTGTTAAGAAGCGGAGAGAATTATCTCGGAGTGTGTCTCTCTTTCATCCCTCTAAAAGGGGACAACCCTACTTAAGCGTATCTCTTGACACTTCGGTGCTTCTTTTTCTAAGTGATGCAATCCAAATGCAAAGATGCACTCAATTTTTTTATCTCAATTAAAGCGTCATTATGGTATATCAGATCGGATATTAACCTCTGTACACACAAACTTAATTAATCAGTTAACAGAAACAACGCTTTCCCAAACAGCAACATGTCC